ACAGTAAATACCATGATTATAGAAAAAACGGAAGGTTAGAATACTAATTTAGTCATATTAACAATTGAAATTATTAAATAGAAAATGAAGTGTGTTTCATACATTTTCAGATTATGCACCACCATAAATATTGTGCGTGATTCAAAAGGAAAAATTTTACTTTTGCATTGTTGTTTTACATTGCTTTACATTGTTGAATATGGACTTTTTAGTAGTCATGTGTTGTTGGGTTTTTCCTGTTTATATACTTTTTTATTTACATTCTAGTAAAGCTGCATGAAATGCGTTTCAAATAGGAATTATTCATAAAATCCTTTTTTTTTTCACTTTAAACTCGTTGAATAAGAGATTTTTGTTTGCAAAGTCGACAAAGTTACAAAAGTCTAAAATATGTAGGCGTGAAATTAAAATTCGAATATCCCCAATGGAAAAACCTACAAGATATTTTGGCTGTAACACAAACCCACGTTAAGCCGCCCTTCATGAAGAATCCAAAATTCTGCTTTAAAAAAATATATATTTGGAACTAGTTTACGTGAAAACACGATAAAAGAATCCTGCTTTATAATTCTTTATATTCCAATTTATATGATTCTGCAACAAATTTAATTAAATATCAATAAAGCGAGTTATTGTGAGTATATCGAAATTGTGCCAGTCGATAAACAGGGACGATTTAGTTGAGAGAAGCTGCGGAATCTGAATTAATGGACACTGTTGAGCTTAAGGTCTCGACCGAGTATTACTTTGCAGACAATATGGCCCATGCTTTGTGCCAGTTCAGCCATTTCTCGCCCTTTATTATTCGAAATTCGCATAAACTGAACGCTTCCGAAGCTCCGTCATATAATTCACGTGCCCCCCCTTAATATGTCTGAATTATGGCCGTCTGCAGATATTGTCTTAGCTGCTGCAAGTGGCTAATCGGGGGAAGGGCGAGCATCAACAGGATAAATGGAATTTTTTTTCCTATGCCAATAAATTCCGGTACTTCCGGCGGTTAATTAGCTACTATTGTGCGAACTATGATAATTTCAGCTAAAAATCAACAAAAAAGCTCATCGTTCTGCGTTAAACGAAAGGTGCTTGCTGCAGTATTTTCCAAAGAGAAAACTTTATCTGTCGGCATCCGTTCTAATTAGTTTCCTGATTAGAAGCTCGTTCTTCCATCAATTAGAGGTGAAATGCAGGTGAATCCGTTGCATTCACGTGTGAAAAACCAAAATTGCTTACTCTCGAAAGTTCACGCAGAAGGATTTTAAGTAGTAATCTCTATATTAAACTCGGAAGTTTTGTCGCTGGAAATGCCAATATTTTATATTCAACATGCGTTTAATTCTCAGTTTTTAGCACTTTAAATATTGTTTTATTCAAAAAAAATGCGCAATTTGAGGGCCTATTGCGCCATAACAATTAAAACTTTGCTGCTCTTCCGGCTCTTCAAATATGAGCAAACCCCGCTAAGAGCGACTCACAAGATACGCATAAATTTTGAATTTTCGCATTTTCCGTGAAAACTAGAAACATTCCTTAAATAATGTTTTATATAAAATGTACCAAATCAAGGCCAATTTGTTGCCTTATTTGCTAAAGGAAAGGAACGCCGGTCAACTCTGTGACTGATCGTAAATGCCACAAAATAAGCAAAATGTTTCTAAAAAAATGTAAATAACCAAGAACAGTGCAAAAGTTATTTGCCATAAAACTGCATATATAATCGCCCCACATTCGCCAGCTAAAACGTGTTTTGCCCGGGTAACTTCAACTTTAACTTTGAGAACACATCGGCGCCTGAAAGATAAACAAAATCCATTTCAGCTCGCAAAATACAAGCTAAACTAACATGGATTTTTACGTTAATTAGTCTCCACTGTTCAAGGCTTACGGGCGCCGCGTGGCAACGAAAAATTAAAAAACCGCTAATCAACTTAAAACGTAAACCGAATTTTGGAAGCTGAAGGTAACATCAAAGTGATTTAACAACAATTTAGCATGTAATTATGCGCCAACTCCAGACACAGCTTGAGGTTAGCGCTATTTAAACGCTGGCATAGCGATGCGGCCATGTTCCTTAATTAACAGCAACGCCAAGTCGACCGGGCAAAGCTAACTTTAGCCGAATGTTGGCTGAAGACGAATAACAAGTTATTCATGTATGATAATTGAGCGGTTTTTATGGAGCCTTGGAGGCTCTTACCCGGAAAATGCGAATATGAAACACACTTGAATTATCAAAAGAGATAGACTTTCGAGGCCATTCCTTGAAACAAGTGGGTTTTTC